ATATATATATTACAACACTTTGTGAATAAATATGTCTTGTTTTGGTCATAAAAAAGTAACATTATTAAAATAATTTCAGAGTATTTTAACAAGTCGGGATTTGAACTCAGGTCGTTTGCAGCACAGTTACTCTGTGCACACGCACAGTCCACTAGGCCAGTGGCTCCCAACAGGGGGGTCCCGGCCCACAAGGGGGCCCTTCGAGAGCTCTGGGGGGTTGTAGCATCATATTTAAAAAAATTTTAGCATTGGACAATTAGGAGAATGATCATGTTGCCTTAGTTCATTTTATTCCCTAGTTCAGTGGTCTTCAATCACCGGTCTGTGCATCAATTGGTGCCGGGCTGCACAAGATGTCATTAATTATTTCTATTTTATTAATTTTGTGAGTCTAAACGGTCTTTAATTTTGAAATATGACCATATATCTCTCGCTTATATCTCGGTCACTTGAGGGCCCCAATGTAATCCATAATTTAGAAAATCACAATCTAGAAATCCACAATCTATATCGGCACTGGTGGGGGCGCTAAGGCACTCGGCCTGCGATCTCGTGCTAACGTACGCCTCCCACCAGTGCCAATATACAGCCATATCGCACAGCTACTCGTGTGATATTGCTCATATATATATATATATATATATATATATATATATATATATATAAAATAAAAACTCAAACTGGTTTGGAATAAGGGGCTATACAGTTGATCAGTGGTTAGAATTGTCACCTCACAGAAAGAAGGTCACTGCATGGTTCGAGTCCTCAGCTGGGTCAGTTGGCATTTCTGTGTGGAGTTTGCATGTTCTCCACGTGTTTGTGTGGGTTTCCTCCTTCATTCCGCTGTGGAGACCCCTAATAAATAAGGGACTAAGGCGAAGGAAAATGAATGAATAAATGAATGGTTTGGAAAAACTCAGAATTTTTATTTTTGGTTGAACTATCCCTTTCAAAATTAATAGAGGCCATAATGGCGAACACAAATAAGCACCGTTTGTTTTGTTTTTATGGAAACTTTAAAGTCTGCCACATAGTCTGTAGCTACACATGACAATAAAATAAATGATTTTTTAAAGAGCCAATCATCTCGTTTTGTGTTTATGTTTTTGTAAAACATATTCAGGCATTTGTAATGTAGCTAGGCTAATACTTAATAAATCAAAACCCTTCTGCGTTTCACTTTATATAACGTTTACACAGTGTATCTTCAACAGAACGCCATATATACATTTCTGTAGCGCTTTTTACTGTGAAAAAAGCCAAAGTGTAACATATGATTCTCAAATTAAATGGACAATTAATAAATGCATTCATTAAGTTATTGTACAATATCAGAATGGAGCTTTCTGCTTCATAATTACACATTTTAGAGGTAAAATTTACATTCATAAATTTTTATCAGCTTATTTAAAATGAGCTGAAACAACACCATTCTTAAGTTTTTTTTTTGTTTGTTTTGTAGTGTCAAAGCCGCTTTACATGATTTGTACATAGAGATGAACATAACATTTAATCCCCATAACAATATTTCAGATTGAGCTGGTAACTCAGCTGAATAGATATAGCATATATCATTTATATAAGTGGAAATAACTGCTTAGAAGGACACATCGTCATGTGTCACATCTATTTACATGACACTTTTCTAATGTTTGACTAAACACACTAACTTTACGTTAGTCCCTTTAATGATTCATTTACTCATCCTCAGTCATAGCGTTTGAGGCCTTATTTAGAAGTTCATCAGGTAATTTATAACCCTCTAAATGTTGAACATGCTGTAAAACAGTTCGAAAATTGTATTATAAAATCAACATTTTCCATGAGTAAAATCTCCAAAAGTAAGAATACCTCTCTGGAGGTCGTCTGGAGTCGGTCAGCAATCAACCGCTTCACCGCAGTTCTTTTCTTGCTATTGTGAACTAAACTATAGCTCAGTAGTTCCCTCTAGTGCTCTTAGTGTGCCATTACGTTGGTCTAAGTGTATTACCAATAGACTCCCTGTGGACTATTTTTACAAAATAATAATAATAATAATAAGAAGAAGAAGAAGAAGAAGAAGATTAAATTATCTTTAAATACATAAATCAATAACTCACATAAAGATGAAAGAATGAGACAAAAACTACAATATAAAACAACGCAAAAATATGATTAAGATTCGGATAATTTAGCTAAAATTTAAAATAAATGCTGTATAAATAAATACTGTGTGCATAATTGAATTAGTAAAATGTTAAATACATTACAATAAATTTAATTGTAGTTAAATGACAAGGACAGTATAAAAAACATTCGGAAATAAATAACTCTGTAATGAGGAGAAAATGCAACAAGACAACTTAACAGAAACTTAAAGCAAACATCCATTTCTGACCTGTATATATACGTTTTTAGTGATCATACATAAATGCATTATATTATTTTATATTTATTATTATATTATTAACATTTATATTATATTATAACGAGCAGTTAGATAGGTGTACCTAATAAAGTGGCTGGTGAGTGTACATTTTAGTGGGTGTTTTCTACAAATCGATGCTCATGTTCATTCCAATGCATGACAAAAAAAACTGCACAAATACTGAATGTCTTTTATTTTGAAAGACACTCCCTCACAGGGGAACCGCTGTTATTATTTTGGTTCTTAGCACATTTCAAAATTAATTTCAACGAAACACATTTAACAAAGACGACAAAACTAAACCGAAAAATGCAACCAAAGTGAAACTATTACAGAGCATATTTTATATATATAAAACAATTGCAAGCTCAATAAATATAACAAACACAAAATGCCTAGTAGGTAAACATATACAGTAATACACCATATTTATTGGGGGCAGCGTCTTTTAGGGTTGTATCTTTCAGATAAGGAGTTGGTTTTAGTTTAGCGAAGCACCAGGCAGTTTCAGCTCAACATGTCGGGTAACAGCAGTATCAAATCATAAGCTGCAGAAATCATCAATACATAAACGGGAACATCTGAAAACTACCTCAAGCTTCCACTTAAACCAAACACTCATAAGTGCTCAATCGGTTACAAACCAAAAACACAGTCTGTTAAACAAGTCATTTATGAATCCTTTAGACGTAATATACAGTAAGGGATTCTTTAAATAAAGCCGTGGCAAAACATCTATATTCATACAGAAATATTGACTCCATCCTGTTAATGAAAATAACACTGGTCCAAATGAAATGTTTAATATGCCTTAAAGAGACAGTTCATCATTTACTCAACCCTCCATTTGATCCAAACATAATTGAGATCATTTCTTCTGTTGAACACAAAAAGAAGATATTTCGAAGAATGTTTCCATAGGATTTGTTTTTTGCTTTCATGGACGTCAATGGTACGCTACATTCTTTAATATATATGTATATATATTTTTATGTTCAATGGTAAAAGATGGAGAGTAAATGTTTGTTTTTGGGTGTACTGTCACTTTAAGAGCTGCTCAAGTTCTCTGAAGTCAAACAGTGATTTCGTTTATATAGGTTGAAATCTCACTCATACACATTCATAAACTCCCTCTATAAACCTGTTAGAGTTTGTTTCTTGTGTGATACTTCGAAGCATGTTGTAGAATTTAATTCCATAGGATTTGTTTTTTCCTATTGTAGATGTCAATGGTTTGCTACATTCTTCAAAATATGTTTTTAGTTTTTTGTTCAACTGTAAAAGAGAGAGAGTAAATGTTTGTTTTTGAGTGTACCGTCGCTTAAGGGAATGCTCAAGTTCTCTGAAGTTAAACAGTGATTTGTTTTTATAGGTCAAGATCTCCATCATTTACATTCATAAACTCTCTCTCTCACTCCAAACCTGTTTGAGTTTTTTCATTGGTTAAACACAAAAAGAAGATATTTTGAAGAATGTTGTAGAACTTAAGTCCAAAGGATGTTTTTTTCCTATGTATGTCAATGGTTTGCTTCATTCTTCAAAATATGTATTTTTTTTATGTTCAACGGTTAAAGAGAGTGAGTAAATGTTTGTTTTTGGGTGTAATGTCGCTTTAAGAGCTGCTCAAGTTCTCTGAAGCCAAACAGTGATTTGGTTTTTATAGGTCGAAATCTCACTGCTTCACATTCATAAACTCTCTCCAAATCTGTTAAGAGTTTGTTTCTTTCGTTGAACACAAAAAGAAGATGTATTGAAGAATGTAAAAAAAATTGGATTGGAGTCTTTTGTTGAACACACAAAGAAGATATTTCGAAGAATGTTGTAGAACTTAATTCCATATGTTTAGTTTTTCCTATTATGCATGTCAATGGTTTAGTACAATCTTATATATGTAAATAATTTTTAATTTTTTATGTTCAACAGTTAAAAGAGGATGAGTAAATGGTTGTTTTTGGGTGTACTGTCGCTTTAAGGGATGCTCAAGGTCTCTGATGTCAAACAGTGATTTGTTTTTTTTTATAGGTGGAGAACTCACTCATTCACATTCATAAACTCTCCCTCTCCAAACCTGTTAGAGTTTGTTTCTTGTGTTGAACACAAAAAGAAGATACTTAGAAGAATGTTGTAGTACTTAATTCCACAGGATTTGTTTTTTTTCTTATTGTAGATGTCAATGGTTTGCTACATTCTTCAATATATATATATAATTTTCTTACTTAGATTTTTTGTCTTGTTTCTAGTCCAAATATCTAAAAATTCCTAACTCAAGAAGAATTTTCAAGACAAGAAAAACATATTGTCTTGTTTAGAGAAATAATATGCCAATATTAAGTGAGTTTTTCCTTAAAACAAGCCAAATAATCTGTCAATGGGGTAATAAAAATAATCTTACATCAAAAGGAAAACCAAGATTATTTTGCTTACCCCATTGGCAGATTATTTTGCTTGTTTTAAGGAAAAACTCACCTAATATTGGCATATTATTTCTCAAAACAGGACAATATGTTTTGCTTGTCTATAAAATACTTCTTGATATAAGAAATTTTAGATATTTAGACTAGAAACAAGACAAGAAATCTAAGCAAGAAAAGCATTTTTTTTTTGCAGTGTAAAAGAGGGAGAGTAAATGTTTGTTTTTGGGTGTACTGCCACTTTAAGGATTGCTCAAGTTCTCTGAAGTCAAACAGTGATTTGGTTTTTATAGGCCGAGATCTCACTCATACACATTCATTAACATTCATTAACTCTCTCTTTTCAAACCTGTCTAAGTTTCACAAAAGAAGATGTTTCGAAGAATGATGTAGAATTTAATTCCATAGGATTAGCTTTTTCCTATTATGGATGTCAATGGTTTGCTACATTTCTCAAAACATATTTTTTTATGTTCAATGCTAAAAGAGGAAAGCTCACTTTAGGGTGAGTTAATGTTTGATTTGGGCTTTGCTGTCGCTTTAACGGCTGCTCAAGTTCTCTGATGTCAAACAGTGGTTTGGTTTTTATAGGTTTGAGATCTCACTCATTTACATTCATAATCTCTCTCTCTCTCTCTCTCTCTCTCTCTCTCTCTCTCTCTCTTCAAACTTGTTTGAGTTTGTTTCATCCGTGGAACACAAAAGAAGATGTTTTGAAGAATGTTTCAGATTCCATAGGATTTGTTTCTTTCTACTATGGATGTCAATGTTTTGCTGCGTTCTTCAAAATATAAATATTGTTGTGTTCAACAGCAATAAATGAAATCTCACATGAGGGCAAGTAAATGTTTTTCTTTTTGGTGTACTCTCGCTTTAAGGGCTGCTGAAATTCTCTGAAGTCAAACAGTGATTTGGTTTTTATAGGTTGAGATCTCACTCATTCACATTCATAAACTCTCTCTTACACACACACACACACACACACACACACACACACACACACACACACACACACACACACAAACACAAACACACACACAAACATACACACAGTTTCATACAGTAGTGCAGTTCACATCCAAATTCACTGTAAAAAGTGATCAGCTACTTGAATTAAATGAGTAAACCCATTGTAGCTTGGAACTTTTAAATCGACTTTGTTTTATAATTGCACACTTAAATGTTTACTTTAAAGTTCACTCTTTTAAGTTCACTTAAAAGAAACACTCAAATTTTTTTTTTGGAAATAGGCTAATTTTACAACTCCCATAAAGTTAAATGGTTGAGTTCTACCATTTTTCAATCATTCAGCCGATCTCTGGGTCTTACAGGAGAACTTATAGCTTAGCTTAGCATAAGCCATTGAATTGGATTAGAACATTAGCATCTCACTTAAAAATGTCAATCATTTTCTTATTTAATGTATATGAAAATAGTCCCCAGCTAGGAAAATATGTACCAGCGCAGTGTAAAGCCATTGCACATGCTGCAGCCATGGTATGGCAGCAAACTTCCTTGATTAATACGCCAGAATAAAAGTCCCCTTACAATGTCGTCCTAGAAAATAACTCTTTATTTTCGGTCATTCTTAGTATACAACGTAACTACAGAAGAGTCTAGCTTTAAATAGGAAAATTATAGAAACTTTTTGGCCTTTTTTGAGTGAAATGCTAATGGTCTAATCTAATTCAATGATTTATACTAAGCTAAAAGTGATAAAGAGATTGGCTGGGTTGGCTTTAAAATTATAAAACTCAACTGATTAAATCTGGGGGAGTTGTAAAATATGCCTGTTAAAGAGTGCTCCTTTAACAGAATTACTATTGATTTTTGTAAGTCGAGTCAGCTAATGTTTTTTACAGAGTTGTCGGAAAACAGAAATAAGCAATAGAGTGTTTTCTTTACTATTAATGCCGTCATGTGGCCTCAAGCATCCCACAGGAAGGGCTCTGATTAAACCTGTTCTTTGATCATTTGTTGTCCTCGAGTTTTCTGATAACTGGATGTCCTCTTTTGAAGTTATTTGTATTTTACAAAGTGCAAGAGTTGAAGAGTCGGCAGTCCTCTGCTTTAGGAAAGGGATCTGTCCGGCTGGAAGAGGGAACGGAGAAGAGGAAAGAGTGCATTTGTGTCCCGCAGAACTCAGAACATCTGTCCTGGAGGGACGCTACACTTCTCTGTGGAGAGAGAATGTGATGAATATTAGAAAACAACAACAAAATCAATAATCAAAATAAAAAAAGTTGTTCATAAAAAATACTATACTTATATTACTATAATATATTTAAAATACGTTATTCTGTAATCAAAAATACATAAAAGAATTCAAATATTATTGATTTCAAAAAGAGAATTCTAATGATAAATATATTTTAGAATTCTTAATGTTTTAATATATCTATATTTTTGCCTTTTCTTTTCATGTTCATCTGTTTCTTTTCTTTTTCTAATGGATAACAAAACAAATTCAATAAATATAAAATTAATATCATTTAAAAAAAATGTTTTTCATAAAAATTCATGAAAATCAAGTACACTTTTTAGTTCAATAAAAAATACATAAAATAATACAAATATAATTTAATTCAAAATGGGAAACAAGATGTTAATTATAAAATAATTATTTATGTTTTGATATATAATTAATGATTTTCACTATTACTTTTATTTCTATTTTTCTTTTCTAATGAATACATGTCTATTAGTTATACAAGTTCAATAATTAATAGAGTAATAGAGTCTAATATGTTTGTATAATATAAAATAATATAATGCAGTTTTTAATCTTTTAGAAAATATTTTTTATTATATTAAATGCTAAAAATACACTTTAATATGTTGTTTAGAGCATATATATATATATAAAATATTTTTATTTAATTTTTTTATTTAATTAGTTATAATACAGCATACAATTAAATAATTATGTAAAACCAATACTTTTTTAAAGTATTAATTTAAATACATATTATTTACAATTTTAATACAATTAATAATTAAGACATTTTAAATAAAATCATAATAATTTTTTTGTATGAATAAAATAATTTTTGAATCTCGGTCTGGTGGGAGGCCTATTAGCTTAGCTTAGCTTACATCATTGAATCCGATTAGACCATTAGCATCTAGCTTAAGATTTCGATAATTCATTCATTCAATAATTAATTTTCCTCCAGCTTAGTCCTGTTATTCATCAGGGGTCCCCTTAGCAGAATTATCTGCCAACTGAGGTAAACAATGCCAACAAAGGGAGAACTTGCAAACTCGCACAGAAATGCCAACTGGCCCAGCTGGGAGATGAACCAGCGACCTTCTTGCTGTGAGGTGACAGTGCTAACCACTGAGCCACCGTGCTGACCCTGATTTTGATCATTTTCCAATTTAAATCTTGACTACTCTGAAGTTGCACCATGTACTAAGACATTTTATAGATGCAATATTAGGCAGTACCTGAAAATAGTCCCCAGCTAAGTAACTAGTTAACAGCGCAGTGTAATATAATTGCACCTGCTATTAAACATCTCAGTTTTAATTATTTTATCAAAAAATATAAATATTTATGAATATTTATTATTAATGGATTCATATATTTTAAATATTATCTATAAAAATGTAATCAAAATAATTTAAAAATGGTTTAAATATTATATTTTCAGCTTTTATATTTTCAGCAAAACTACTCTGGAATAATCTGCACAACAGTAATAAAATACCAAAACTCATAAATATATATATAAAAAAAAATTCCATCCAAATAAAGTTTTTAATTAATACCAAAATCATAAATCCAATGTGTGCAAACACAATCCAGTTAGTTTTGATTTCATTTGTACTGTAAACAATAAGTAAATGCACTACAATGCACTACCCTGCACAAATCGCATGTAAACGCATCAACCTTTCACAGCGTAATACTCACTACTCTTGAGTACTTTTAAAAGGGCTAGTACTGTTTACTCATACTATAAGTAATATTTACAACAGATATTTGTACTCCGTTTGCACTACATTTTGGGGCAAGTAATGATACTTTTACTTGAGTATGATTTTTCAGTACTCTGTCCACCACTGACTAAATCTAATAAGTAGACATTTAAACAGCAGCAGAAACACTTACGATGCAGTGAGCGTGGAGTTGAGCACCAGCGTTGTTCGTATCTTATAAAGCTGCGCCAGCGTGAGCTTCTTGTGCTGCTGTGTTTTCTGACGGCGGTTCCCGGTTCCCTCTACACCAGCAGGGGGCGACAGTTCCCCATCTGACGCGCTACTGTTGGGAATCTGACCAGTGCCAGTCTCGCGGGCCATTTTAGCCCGCTTCAAAGTGTCCATAAGCACAGCAGAGGGCAAACTGCAGGTCAGTCTGTGACTCTCTTCTGTGGGCAGAGACTCGTCTGATTCGGCCGCTTTAAGCTCCGTCAGGCTCCGGCTGAGCGCCGGTTCAGTATGTTTAACCCTCTGCTCCCAGGTGTGCCGACTTTTTATTTTCTTCTTTGGAATATCCTGGTGAACCGTGGATAGCAGGTTGTCCTCAGATCGGGATTTACCTAAAAAGATAATGATAACAGCAATAATAGTAACAGTAATAATACCACATCTTATTTTAATAAGGTGCAAGATAAAATAAAATAAATAGAATTGAGTACTGTTTAGTAGTATATCACAATAAATATTCATACAAATAATAAACTTTAATTCATTAAAGTATAAAATAAAATTTAAATAAAATAAATAAAATGTAGTACTGTTTGTAGTATTTTACAATTTATAAATATTTATATTTGAATATTATTTTTAATAAATATTCATAAATTATAAATAAATAATTTAGCTCGACAATCACAATAATAATAATAATTTAAAAAAATATATAATAGCAATAATTAGGATGATATTACACAATACAATTTAGGATGGTTTTAGTAGTATTTTACAGTAAATTCATATTTATATTAAGATTAAAAATAATATTTATAGACATTCATAAATTATAAATAAATCATTTAGGCTGACAATAACAATAATAATAAAATAATAATAAGAAGAAGGGTGATAATAATTAGACAATAACATTTAGTACTGTTTTATAACACATCAATATTAATACTAAAATAAAATAATATTTATAAATATTCCTAAATAATAAACAAATGATTAAATACAAAAACAGTAATAATAATAAAACTGAAAAATAATGAGGATAAAAATAAAAATAAGAACACAAAAAAAAAATAATTTATTAAGGTGTAAAACATTAGATTTTAGGGATTTACCTAAAAGATAATAAAAAAAGATAATGATAACAACACTAATAATAACAATAATAATAAAACATTTTAAATTAATATGGTGTCACATAAAAAAATGTATATTTACATTAAAATAAAGAAAATATTTATAAATATTCATAAATTATAAATAAATAATTTAGGACAACAACAACAATAATAATAAAAACATAATGATAATAATAATAATATTAACAGTATAATAACAATAATTGTAATAAAGATAAAAATAAAAATAATAATAAAACAAAAATAATAATTTATTATTAAGTTGGAAATATCGTATGTATTTATAGTAACATTTTTGTAGTATTGTATTTTTAAAATTAATAATAAAATATTATTGTAACAAAATAAATTGGAATAATATTTATGATTAAGATGTAAAATATTAGATGTATTTTTAGTTGTATGTTAGCCTTTTCTATTTTTATAACATTTTTGGGATATTTGATTTAATTTATATTTATTTTATTACAATAAAATCGATTTATTACAATTAAAAATACTTATACTGAAATATTTATAAATTTTAAAAAAGTATTTTGGTTCACAATAACAATAAACAAATCTAAAAATTAAATAATAGTGATACAATTATTATTATTATTATTATTGTTATTAAAATATTCATAATAATAATAACAACAATAATATTAATTTGTTATTATTATAAATGATGTTTAATAATAATAAAAATAATAATATGAATAATAATAATAATATCAATAATAATAATAATATGAATAATAAAAACACAAAAAATTGTAAAGGTATAAAATATTGGATGTATTTTAAGTACTATAGTCAGTATTTTTGTTTTAGAATTGTATTAATAAAAATGGAAAAGATAATACAATAAAATACAATTGTTAAAATTAAACAATTACTTATAAATATTCATACAATATAAATAAATCATTTACGTCAAAGTATTACATTACAGTAAATGCAGTTTTATTTACCTACGAGTCTCTCCAAAAATGGCAGACGGCGCTGAACTGGCGCTTGACGTCTGAGTTTATTAAATGAGAGTGTGATTGAGTTTTGAGATCCCACAGAGATTTTATCTTCCTCATCGTCTCCCTCTTCATCTCCTGTCGTCTCTGTTGACTCTTTATCCTCCTCCTCTTTTTCTTCTTCTTGTACAGGAGCTGCTGGGTTTTGTGTCTCCAGCATGGATTCGGGCGAGAGCGTCCCATAGGCGCTGTCCATGGACATGGAGCGGTACTGAGGGTCCAGGTCTGAGGCGTCCTGACTGTTCAAATGGGGCTCCAGCTCTGGGTTCTGCTGCAGGATGGCAGAGTCGGGGTCTGAATGTCCACCAAGGTCAGAGTGGAGAACAGAAGGATCCAAAGATAAGCCGGATTCATCCATATCCATCACTGAAAGGGTTTCAGTGGAGCCGTCTGATTGGCTGAAACAGAGAAATCACATAATTCATTCATTTAAAAAGTGTTAAGAGTTGAAACTGCTAAATAAAAATAATATACACTGTCAAACTATTAATAAATCATTTATCGAGCAAAAAAATCCCAAGTTGACTGACTGCCAACATTGTCATTACAAATAATAATACTACTAATAATAATAAAAATAATAACTTGTTAAAATTACACAAATATAAATAATTTATTAAGATGTAAAATATTAGAGGAAATCAAACCAAGTATAAATGTTATTAATTACCATATTAATTCTACGGTATTCAAATGTGTATAATATTAATTTAGTTTATTACAATAAAATGAAATCATTGATAATTAATAACTATAAATAATTATTTTTAAAACTGAGTAAGGCTAACTGACTTGACTGACTGCCAATGTTGCTAATTTCTAATAATAATAATAATAATTTCTTGTTATAATAAGACGAAAATAAAACATGATTAATTAAAAAATATGTAAAAAATTAGAGGAAACCAACCAAATGTTATTAACATATTAATTATATTAAAATCTAAGTATTTGTCAACTTTTTACAATAAAATGAAATTATTTCTAAATATATATATTTGCAAAACTAAATACTAAGGTAACTGACTATTATAAAATATTAGCGACAATTACAATAAATATACATTTAAAACGTATATATATAAATACACCTATTAATTACTTATTGCAATCATAATAAACTAATATTAAATAAATATTAAAATTGGATGGATAAATGGAATGGCAATGTTTATATTTTAAAATTTAAATATAAATTTATAGACTGCATTAATACAATGTGTTTATTAAATTTTTTTTATTAAAATATAATTTTATAAACACCATAAAACTATTAATGAATCATTTATTGTAAAGCAAAATTTCTAAGTAAACTAACACGCAACATTGTTAAATAATAATAATAATATCAATAATAATAATAATAATAACAACAACAATAATACTAATAATAATAACAACAACAAAATCATCTTAAAATAACCAATATAAATAAAATATTGGATAAAACCAACAAAATAAAAGTGTTATTACCATATTAAATCTATTGAAATGTGAATAATATTAATTTAGTTTATTACCATAAAAAGAAATCATTCATCATTGATAACTATTCATAATCATAAAAAAATTATTGGTTAACTGAACTGACTACCAATGTTGTTAAATTCTAATTCTAATTCTAATTCTAATAATAATAATAATAATAATAATAATAATAATAATAATAATAATAATATCTTGTTATAATAAAACAAAGATAAAATATGATTCATTTAAAAAATGTGTAAAATATTAGAAGAAACCAACCAAATATAAATATCATTAACATAATAAAATCTGAATAATATTTATTCAATTTATTACAATTAAATGGTTAACTGACTGTTATAATATTATTGCTACAATTACAATAAAAATACATATAAAACATAAAAAAAATCTATACATATAAATGATTTATTGCAATCATAATAAATGAGTTATATTAAAATTAGATAGATGAATGGATGGAATGGCAATGTTTAAATTTTAAAATTCAAATATAAATGTATAGACTGTATTAAATAACGTATTTATTAAAATCAAATTAAATAACATTTATGAACATATTTTTAAACTACTACAAACAAAATGCCCAAGTTGACAAGTTAAATAAAAAAAATAATACTATTTATAAATCCTTGTTAAAATAACACAATAAAATATCATTCATTTATAAATATGTAAAATATTAGATGAAACCAATCAACTAAAAATGTTATCTAGTAACACATTAATTAATTTATATTAAAATCGAAATAATATGTCTTTATTTTACTGCAGCAAAATGAAATAGGAAATAATATGAATAATGAAATACCTGTTGCTCTGGTCTTTGTGTCTAAGGTGAGGTGAGCTGTTAGTGGAGTTACAGCTGTCCTCGTCCTCCTGATTGTCCAGTAGTCTTTTCTTCAGACAAGCTTTCTGTCTGCGGGCTTCCTCTGACCGCAGACGCTGCAGCTGATTCTAACATGCATCAACAAAACAACCAAATCAGCTACTTGCATTACAAAATATCAAAAATAAATAGCTAAATCAATAAATACATGCCCAAAATTTAATAATACAAGCAGAAAATTAATACATCAGCTAAATGCATGCATAATAATAACTAAATGCATACACAAAACTATGAAATAGGATAAAAACAATACTAAAAAATAATAAACGAGGTAAATGGTGGCATAAAATAACAATGCATCAAAAACATATAAAAAAATCAACTAAATGCATGCATAAAGTATCTAAATGCATCCAAAAAAAGATTCATTCAGCTAAATGCACACATTAAATAAACTAAATGCATCCACAAAAATATTAAATATGCTAAAAGCATGCCTATAATAAATAAATGCATTCACAAAGTGATAAAATATGCAATAAATAACTAAATAATCAAAAAACATTTAATGAAAGAACTAAATACATACACAAAATACACTAAAATACACTTAATGCATGCATAAAAAACTAAATTCCTTCACAAAATGATGAAATCAGCCAAATGCATGCATATAATAACTAAATGCATCCACTAAATGATTAAATCAGCTAAATGTGTGTGTAAAATAGTGAAAACAAGAACACTGCAGATGGTTCAACACGTCAGAAAATGTCAAACAGAGATCATTATTATTAGATAAAGGATTTAACCATACCTGCACATTGCATATTGCATCAGTCCAGCTTTTCCCCTGGGCGGCGCTGTTGGCCTGGAAAGTGTAAGCAGCCACAGCGCTCTTGAACTCATTGAGGTAGATGAGGACAAATGAGCCTAAAGCAGAACAAAACAAATCAAAACACAACATTAATAATACTGTATTGCAGCAAAAATAACAACATTATATCATGCATTACATTACAAAATATAATAATAAAACATTAAATTATTTGATTGCAAAATACAATGACATTTAATATTTAATTATTATTATTATAAACAAAACTATTATTATTATTAATACAATAATTAATATTTAATATTAATACTTGAATTGCACATTCAATTCTATTCTTTTTCTTTTTCATTCTTTTATAACCTATTTTAACACATTTTAAATTGTTTTTATCTGTTTTTAATAATTTTTATTGTTTGCATTTTATGTCCTAAACTTGTCTTTTTTATTCCTGTTTATGTAAAGCACTTTGAATTGCCACTGTGCATGAAATGTGCTATATAAATAAACTTGCCTTGCACATATTAATATCAATGATTTATAAAACTTTCAATTGTTTTTCTTTATGCTAAATAAAAGAATGAATAATACATTTAATATTTTGAATCTATTCGATTTAATTTAATGATATATTATTATTATTTATTATTATTATTATTATTATTATTATTAATTAGACATTTTATTTTAGGGATTTATCCAGCATGTGCTAACAACAAACTATTAAATAATTAAACTATTAATAATTAATTAATCTAAAAAATTTTTAGATTAGATTATAAATAATGAAACAATCATATTTATTTGTTTATGATCAATTAGACATTTTATTTTACATATTTATTCAGAACGAGATAAAAAACTAAATAATCATTAGATCAAATTATCAATAGCAAAGCAATCATATTTATTAATAATTTATTAAATATTTAGACATTTTACTTTAGTTATTTATTCAGAGTGTGATAAAAATACTAATTATTATATTAAATTATAAATAATAATGCATGTATCAAAAAAAACTAAATGCATCCACAAAAATATTAAATGAGCTAAATGGATGCATAAAATAACTAAATGCATAGACAAAAATTATTAAATCAGTTAAATGCATGCATAAAATAATGATTAATTAAACATTTTATTTTAGATATTTATTTGGAATGCCAAAACAAAAACAAACTAATTATTAAAGTAGATTATCAATAACAAAACAACCATATTTATTAATAAGTTATGATTAATTGGACATTTTATTTTACATATTTATTCAGAATGGGATAAAAAATGAAATAATTATTATATTAGATTATAAATAATAAAAGAATAATATTTATGAAAAATTAATTAAATGTTTAGACATTTTATTTTAGTTATTTATTCAGAATGTGATAAAACAAACGAATTAATAAATTAGATTATAAATAATAAAAATATATATTTATGAATAATTTATGACTAATTACATGTTTTATTTCAGCTATTTATTCGGAATGTGATAACAAAAAAAAAAAATTAAATTTGATTATAAATAAAAAAAATACAATAAACTGTATGAATAAAATTAAGACACTGCTAATAAATAATGCAATAATTACATTAAAAACAATACCAGTATTAATTTTTATCATCCTCATTAAAATGTACATTTGTTTGCATTACAAATTTGATAATTAAAATAAATTTGTAAATGGATGCCCACCTGGGTCTTTGAGCTCACGGCACACCACATTATGCAAGAGGAGCGGCTGCCGGACCACCTTCACCTTCTCCAGTCGCTTCACTGGTTTAGTGATCAGCAGCAGATCAGTGAACAGGAAGCAGTAAGCATCCATCTAAATAAAACACACACACAGAAGTAAAACACTAGTCACTTAAAAACAATACTACATCTTAAAATTGACAATTCACCCCAAAATGAAAAGTCTGTCATTGTTTACTCTTCCCTTACATGTACACAATCTGCATGAGGTTCTTTCTTCTATTGAAGGCAAAAGAAGATATTTTGAGAAATGTGGAAAAAACAGCTTCTATTATATTTTTTTCCTACTATCAACAGCTGGGTTTCCATCCCCCTGTGTTAAAAATGTGCATGTTGAAGTGTGTAAATTTATTTATTAAATGCATGTAAAATTTTGTAATGGCAATGCCTTCCTTGTATAAACTTTCTATGGTGTTTTTATATCTGGTCAAGAAGGTTTAACCAATATATTTAGAACAATCACCATCACATAATCTTCACATGCATTTGTTATTATTATTATTATTTGTTTGGTTCTTTGTTATATTTTACTTTTACTTTTTGTTCTGTTTCATGTTGTAACGTTTGCTCGCAGAACGTATTTTGGATAAGTGTGTGCGTTCGTTTGTATGTGGGTGTGTCGTTTCATGCATGTGTTACAGGTACGAACGGCATTGGAGAATCCGCATTTCGTGCTGATGACGTTGGCCGCTGACGCTGGGTTTGCGCCACCAATCGCTGGTTGGCGTAGCGTTTAAAAGCCGAGCCCAAACTGCAATGGCGATCTCTCTCTCTCTCTCTCTCTCTCTGTCTCTTTCCTTCTCGCCACTTCTCGCTCTTATTCTTTCTGTGGGTCTCTGTGAGGACAGTCTCTCTTGCGAGGGCTAGTCTGAGAGAATGTGTTTTGCTTGTTTAATGCTCTTGTCTAAAGTTTGCGATTTAACAATGCTTGTGAAATTGTCCAGTTAACTGACATTTTTGAGTGATGCCTCGGAGAGGTGTAGGAGTGAGTAAGTCGCGCGATATACATATACAACACTCAGATTGATATTTTGTATTAGTTCATTAGGTTCAGGAGAATGTGCTGTTTTCTGTATGTTTTGTTTTTAGTTAGAGCAGTTTAGTTAAGACGTTTGGTACGTTGAAGATGTTTCTTTTCATGCTTTTCTTTTCATATTCAGTTTAGTTTGGTGAAAACAGTTACTGAGTTTTGTTATATTTATTTCTTTGATTTAAGCACATTCAACTACTTCCTCTCCCCCCAGGTAATTCATTATTTAATCATTGTAAATATTTTTCTTTCACTGTATAATATATTTTCACTGGTTTTCATGGGATATATGGGCAATAAATAATTGCAGTGATTATTTGATTCAGTTTATTTCTTTCTCCATCCGCTTGTCACACACATTAAACTAATGTATGTTATTGTCATCTACTCCTAGTTTAATATTAACATCTAAAAGGACGTAACAGAAGTAATCATTTACTTTACTTTTAGTTTCTGATTTGTCATAAATCAGGCTTACAGTGATAGGCCTATGCTCTATTTCAACAATACGAAAATAAAATACAACAGTTTTATTTGACCAATTGATGGGCAACAGTAAATCAGGCCCCTTTAATAATAATTGGTAACATTTTACAATATGGTTGTGTTAGTTAATATTAGTTAATGCATTTACTAACATGAACAATGAACATTTATTACAGTATTTGTTCATGTTAGTTAAGATTATAAAACAGTTGTTCATTGTTAGTTCAAGGTAACTCACAGTGCATTACCTAATGTTAACAAGCATGAATTTGGATGTAAATACAACATTAGTAAATGTTGAATTAGTGTAAATGTGAATTAGTTCATGTTAGTAAATA